GTCAATGATTTGTTTCTTCATGCAACAAACGAGCTCTTTTTCTGTCTGCTCACTTAAGCCCAACTCTGTTTTATCCTTTTTGTTTTGTTCGTGGGTCATATTCATGATGACTGTCCTTTAACTGAAATTACTTGTGTATACCAGAACTTAGGATGCAAAGAAGTGGTAAGAAATAGCTAACACGGTATTAGCTAACACATTTAATTTGGGTGTTAGAGTCGGGGGGATCGAACGATTGAAGCATACATATTTTCCATATTTTCGAAAGTTTGGATCGTTGATTTTACTGAAAGGCTTACTCGATCGCCTTTCTTCTGCATTATACGTATTACTGTGTATTATTGAAAGTAACGACTAGATATAAAATCTACCGAGTTAGGATTGTTCTGAGTTTAAATTACCTCACTATCCTTTTTTCAGTTTCCAAGAAATAGGGCCAAATCTCACTTGGAATCACATATGGAAAGCCCCTTGAGCTTAGCTCTTTGCAGCCTTGAGATCACTCAGAATCAGGTTAAACATCCGTCGAAGCGGATTGAGAGATTGACATCCACTTTGTCTGAGCAGTCGCAGCAGTTGAATGATCAGTCACAGCACGGATATATCGATAGACAGATTTATGGCCAAAGATATAAACCAGTCACAAATGATGGAGCGATTGATGTCATCTGTAAAAGATCATTCATAGCAAATGGCAAGTCTAACGTCTACTGTACAAGGTCAGGCGCAACAGATACAACGATTGACGGTCCAAGTTCAACATCAAGCAAAGCAGACAAAGGAAATAAATAAGGAGAGTAAGGGCCAGTCAGACAAGATGGGAGCACCTAACGTCAGTGTTGACAAGCTTGACCGGAAGAAGTCCAAGGGTAGGGGTCTTGATTATGTTGTTACTTATACATAAACACATAAGATGCACGATCCTCGCAGTAGATAGCGCTATTTAAGCAATAGCGAAAATCAGACCTGAAAAACATCAGGCCTGTACGGGATTCGAACCACTGACCTCTGCGATACTAGTGCAGCGCTCTACCAATTGAGCTAACAAGCCAACTGGGAGCAGGCCGTTAAGTTGATTCGTAATCAACTTAACGGCCTGCTCCCAGTTGGCTTGTTAGCTCAATTGGTAGAGCGCTGCACTAGTATCGCAGAGGTCAGTGGTTCGAATCCCGTACAGGTCTGATTTTTTTCAGGTCTGATTTTCGCTATTGCTTAAATAGCGCTATCTACTGCGAGGATCGTGCATCATATGTATCTAATACCGCAGTATAAAATATATGAACTTCATATATTTCACTGTATCTCATTTATACATAAACAATAGCCTCCATTTGGCGCGAAAGTATGCTCTGACATTTGTACGCGGACATTATCTGTTCGGAGATGCGAACAGTTTTTCGTGAGCAAAGCTTGAAGAAAACTGGTAGCCACGAGCATATTTTAGCGCCAAGTAGAGGCTAATTTGTTTATTTTCCACTAAATATTTTTGCAACGTGCAGGGAAAAACTTTTCCAACCAAATGTAACTTACCGTTAGCTGCGTGAAATTCCACATTGCTTTTCAGTGTTCTTTAGTACGATTTTATGCGCAAAAAAGCATGTCTCCTCTTCTGTAACCACCACAAAACGCTTCCTCATCTTGAATTGAATTTTAAACGGAAACTATTTGAAGTAGAGGACTAAAAGGAAATAATTTTATTATTTTCTCTTGATCAGATGTAACGTTTGAAAATTTGGCGGTATCACTCTTTGTATATCATTGAATTTTTCCCCCGTCTTAGCCAGGGTAAATTCGATCACGGGATGCGATGAATCGCATTAAAGGATTATAATCATCAACTATTTACCAAACAGGAGGTGGCTAGTGGTAGTTATTAACCGTGCTGCGAAGCTGCGAGGTAAATATCCAAGCTAGCGATCGGCAATGAGGTGAATACTTGTTTTGGTATATGTACTGAAACAATGAAATAATGAATTATTAAAAGATGATTTCAGCTTATTTATTCCATCAACGAATTCAGTATTTTCGGGTGCAAATCCCTCGCAAAGGAGTAATGCAAAGGATATCCAGAGTTTGAATAGTCAATCCACTGCTTTAGCCAATGCCAATAAATATATGTTATCGACCAGCAGGAGGTCCATACTGGGAAAAACTGTGCCCGAGGTCTTGGATACCGCCCGAGGCCGTAGACAGAGGGCACAGTTTTCCCAATACGGACCGACCTATGCTGGTCAATAACATTTTTATTTTTTTCTAACACATAAAAAAAGTGATTGCCATAAGAACCCGAATGATTTAGGGCTGCAATTACGAATTTAATTACGGGAAAATCCTCCATAAACTTAACAATTTGTTAGCGAGTGAATGATAAAAAAAACAGACATTAACCAAAAGAGAAAGCTTTCACGGAAACATTTTTATTTGTAAAGGTAACTTAAAAGGCTTTCGAGCAAAATTTGAAACATTTTTTGATAAGTAACTGTCATGATGTGACACCTGTCAATTGATGAAGAAAGAAGCGTACGCGTTTGAATAAATA